ATTTTCCATCAATGCTTGAAGCCTTTTTTCCATCAATGGGCCAAAATCACTACAGACAGATGGGTGATGGAAATTGTCCAAACAGGCTACACCATCCCTTTCATCTCCATTCCTCCTACCACCTATCCCATCCCGTCCCTTTTCAGGGACCCATCTCACGAGGCCCTAGAGGTCAACCACTTGCTCTCTTTAGGGGCAATAGAGCCAGTCCCGAACGAATTCAAGGGCAAGGGATTCTACTCCCACTATTTTCTCATTCAGAAAAAGTCAGGAGGATGGGGACCAATACTAGACCTCCGTTATCTGAACAAATTCCTACGAAAACAAAGATTCAGGATGATCACATTAGCTGCCATAATTCCTGCACTAGATAGTAATGACTGGTTTGCAGCCCTCGACCTCCAGGACGCTTACTTTCATGTTTCCATTCACCCGGCTCACAGAAGATTCCTACATTTTTGTTTCGACACAGACCATTACCAATACAAAGTCCTGCCATTTGGCCTCTTGTCTGCCCCCCAGGGTATTCTCAAAAATCCTGGTGATAATCGCCGCCTATCTCTGAAGGCAAGGAGTAATCATATTTCTATATCTGGACGATTGCCTACTGAAGGGACGCACCACCAAACAAACTTTTCAAGCTCTTGGACTCCTCGTCAACAAGCAAAATTCCGTTTTGTATCCATCCAACTCAAGAACTGGAATTCATAGGAGCCAGTTTGGATTCAATTACAGCCAGGGCTTGCTTACCTCTGCAGAGATTCAACATTATCCAGGACCTCATTCAGAAAATTCAAGACAGCCCTACTGTTCCAGTTATCACTTGCCTCAGTCTCATGGGTCATATGGCCGCCACCACCTATGTGGTGCGTTACGCCAGACTACACTTCTGTGCCCTGCAGTACTGGCTGGCACTAGTGTACAGTTACACCAGACACGACCTTCACAGGTCAGTAACACCTCCACAACCTGTCCTTCAATCACTCCTCTGGTGGACTAGGTACCATTTCACCAACAACAGCCCCAGCATCACATTACAACCGACACCTCCCTTCTAGGATAGGGAGCCCACATGGGTACGATCTCACAAGGTCAGTGGTCAACACCAGAGACCCGTCTTCATATAAACCTTTTAGAGTTGCGTGTGATATTCAACGCCTGCAAATACTTCTGTGAACAGATTCGGAACACCATGGTGAGAATCCTCACAGACAATGTCACAGCCATGTATTACATGACTCGTCAGGGCGGATCTCAATCCTGCTCCCTCTGTGCGGAGTCTATCCGATTTTGGAATTGGTGCATTTACCACACAATAACACCTGTGGCATCCTACTTACCTGGAATTACGAACGTCACCGCAGACTTTCTCAGCAGACACTTCACCATGAAAAACGAATGGGAATTGCACGGGGGAGTCCTCCACACAATTTTCCAATGCTGGGGAATTTCCCTAGTAGACCTTTTCGCAACCCATCACAACAAAAAGTGCCGCAGGTATTGCTCCAGGGCGGGACTTGGCCCGGGCTCTCTAGGGGACGCATTCCTTATCAACTGGAATGGACCTCTCCTATATGCCTTCCCTCCTATACCCCTCATTCCGAAGGTTCTACAGAAAGTGAGGTAAGATGGGGCCACGATTATATTGATAGCTCCAGCTTTGGGCGCGTCAACACTAGTTCCCCTTCCTCCATCGCCTGTCATTACGCAAACCATTCCAGCTTCCAGCCCTTCCGAACTTCCTCACACAGAACCAGGGCACTCTACGACACCCCCAGATTCACACCATGAGACTCACAGCATAGTTCCTAACTAGCTAAACCCCTCCGAATCCTTATGCTCGGCACCAGTCAAGCACATTCTCATCCATAGCAGATGGCAAACAACTAGAAATACTTACCTCTCCAAGTGGCGCAGGTTCATCTCCTGATGCATCACAAAGCAACAATTTCTGGAATCTACTTCCCTTCCGATTATCCTTGATTACTTATGACACCTGAAACAGGCAGGTCTTTCATTAGCATCTCTCAGCGTCCATATGGCGGCTATTTCCGCATTCAGATGACCGATCGACAGAACCTCAGTCTTCACCCATCCTACCACAAAGAGATTTATCAAGGGCCTTGCAAATATAAGCCCAACGCATCATCCCACCCCACCGGTCTGGAATTTGGATGTCGTCCTCGAAGCCCTAATGGTTCCACCATTTGAACCACTTGCTACCACCCACAGTGGCACGCCCGCGGGGACATCATCTCGAAGAACGACAGTTACACCAAGGTGAATAACTTCGTTTTTCTATCACTTTGGACCAGTGTGTTTGAGAAATAATGAGTTGCAGATACTTCCATGAACTAAAGTCCTACCCTATCCCTGTTTTATCTAATCCATTTTGAGTGACCCTATCATACCAAAGCTGGTGGTATGGCAATTTTTACATCTCCCGGGCATAGGAACAATATAAATTGTTCCCTTAAAAGAGATTTTTAGGATGATGCTCCAGAAACACACTGGAATGATGGGAAACAGAGGTCAGAGCCATCCTCAGTCTCACAATGGATGAAGAAAAGAAGATGTCAAATGAATACTCTATCTTCATCGTAGAATCCTAGTCTCAAAGGGACTTACTTCCTTCAGTAGTGTTTGTCTAGTTGCGCATTCCCTGTAGGGTCATGTAAACTTAGACTGAAATTTGTACAGCTTATTACTAGTATCAAATACAATGTTCAGCCTGTTTTCTGCCTTGAGGCATCACCAGATGCTCATGGTGGTAATAGCAAGCCTTAGTTCTCAGGGCACTTAACCTGAATCCTTTCTGGGTAATAGCTTGATCAGAGCTCCAACCCAACCAGCAGTACATAGTGCCACAGCCACAATGCTGGATCTACTTCAAACACATTCTTTCATGAATAATTACCAGGAAAATTCCTTGATTCCTTCCATAAAGATAGTTTGTAGCAGAGATTGCTAGACAGATTCTAGGAAATCTGGAGTATTTCTTGGTAAAATGCACAAGGCCAACCATAACTCAGTGCCTCCAATTAATGGGCCTTCAGATTTCATGTGTAAGATTCACTCCATGGGCAGGATCTTGTATCGGGTTGTCTCCAGGCTTTTTCTTGAAAGTATGGAACCGTTCATTAGAACACATGCAAAGTTAGATATTGGTTCCAATACAGTTAAATGCTTTAACTGTTTTTCCTTCTTTTCTGTAGCTTTGATAAAATTTTAAAAGGATGAATTGTATTTAAAACTGGACAGTGATTGGGTTATGTAAACAACATTGACTTATTTGTAGATGGAAAAAATGGGCCCATTAATACAACTTGCCTTGTAGGAGATCGTCAAATCATTGTTACATGTGAAGCCAAAGAACCCCACAGAAGAGCTGCAGCACGCGTTGGCTCTTCGAGGAGTACTAAAGATCTATATCAAGTACACAGAATTGACAAGAATATTTGCCTCTTTGTTCATCTGCTTTCATCTAAAATGCTAAGAACTCAGGGTATCCAAACTATGCCTGGCAAGACAGAATCAAAGCACACACCCCAAGATCTGTGGTGGCTTATGGAGAAGGGGATATGACCAGCACAGATTGTGCTGCAGCTTGGAACTGCCTCTGGAAACAGGAGGTGAATAGGCCTTAAGTATCAGAATTGTGGGAGATGTTGCTAGCAGAAAGGAAATGATGGAGTAAAAGATTTACCAGTCCTCAGAACAGAAGGACTTTCTGAAGTCCTATCAGATTATACTTCATTTAACATCAAATGGTCCCTTTGACTGGGAAAACAATATAAATAATAGTGCCCACAAATGCCACAGAATCTGTCACTCACATAGTCTCAAGGAATAAATGAGCTTTATAGCACATTATAAAGATTTAAAAAATCCAAGTCTTGTCAAATCAAGGAGGAAATTGTGTCAAGGACTTCTCACTGAGAATGCTCTGCCTGGCGTTTCTTTAAAAATAGCTAACAGTGAATTTAAGCAACTTGGCAGAGTGCAGCGGCACACAAGGTTCTGTGCCCAAACCATTTACAGCTTCATAGATTAAAAACACCACTTCAGATTCCACTGAGAAATTAATGAAGAGCAAGTGCAGATGTCTGAGTAGTTGTATAAGCTCCCTGCCTGAAGCACTGCTTAATAAGTAGATAGGTGTGTTCCACACCAATGTAAATTTCCTAATTACTGTAAAACTCTATCTGGAACATATTAATGAAAAGATTAATACACTAAAACAAAGCTGAATAAGACATTGGACACCTTTGGCAGTGTCCCGTGGGAACATTTATGAGAGACTTTGGAATGCTTTACTGATGAAAAGAGTGCAGGGATCTCTGTCTAGCAATATCTTCAGGGGAAAAAAATCATAGCTATATCAGTATTTTATTTATCTTTGAGGTGTTTCCCATAATTCAGCAAGTTGTTTTTAATCACCAACTTGGACTGAAACAGCATTTGCTATGTTTTTCTGACTGGGAATTATTTATTTTGTTTTGGGACAGAGGTGCCTATTTTTACTACACTTTGGAATATAGAATTATTTATTCTCTGGATGTATGTTTCACAATTAGCTTCTAAGTACTTTAAGTACATCACTAAATAAAATTTCTATTGAAGAAATCTTTATTTGTGTGTTGTGAGAAGAACCTAGTCTTCTCTGATGGCCATTTGAAAAGATAAGCTTTGTAAAAGATCAAAATTCAGATACTACAATTTTCCTTTTGTACTTGGTATTTTTAATATGCACAGAGTTTAAGACCATTTCCAGCTGTTCTGTCTATGCCTATATTCTTCATATGAACAATTACATCATATAAGAATTATGCAGAAAGGATTTTTTGAGTAGTTAATTCTTTGAAAAGCAGGATTTTGATTATTTCATTGTGAAAAGAAGAAATCACAATACATAACTTCTATGCCTGGAGTCAATATGAATAGGGAAAAACATACGTAGATCCTTTTATTTTATAAGCTATTTTTTTTCTGTATTCTAGGCGATATTGATGACTATAGTACTGAAGTGGAAGACATTTTTCCTCAACATCTACAGCCAGGTACAAGTTCTGGTCTTGGAACTTCGCCAGGCTCTTCACCTCGTTCCAGTCCCTGCCAGTCACCCACGTTGTCAGATGGACCACTACCCACCCTTCCAATAAGACCAAGTCGAGCACCTACAAGAACTCCTGGACCACCTATCTCCTCACAGAGTATGTATCTCATTATGTAAGTCAGACGACTATATCTCATTCTAGTTACCTACAATTTGACCTTGAAGAATACAGTAAATGTTAAACTAGCTAATGGGTGTTTTATTGGGGTTCTGTGTTATTTTAGGTCAAATTGTGGTGTGACTAAAATAAGTAAAATAATCTGTTTCACACCTCCAGAGAATAACCTTGTGACATAACACTTTAATATAATTCTCATTTATTTTAACCCCACTGATGCGATGCATCTTATTCCAGTGACACTTTAAAAAACATTGCCACAAAAATTCGTTTTTAAACACTTGGTTTGTGTCATTGTAATAGGGAGTAGTTTTACAGTGATTGTGCTTATCTGACAACTCACCTTCCATAATGCTTTTAAAATTTCCTTTTCTCAAAAGAAATAAGCAAATAAATAAAGCCTAGGTTGAAATAAGATGGAATATTTGATAAAATGTGGCTTATAGATATCCTTAAAGCTCCCAGAAAAATAATTAATGGTTAAACTTTTTGGTAGATATCATTCCTTATGAAACTGTGATGAGTAAATTAATTCTGTGTCATTTCTTCTTATTCTTGCTCCTCACAAATTTTGGTTACATAGCCACTGTAGCCTGAATTAACTCTCTGAAATCGATCACCGGCAGTTGATTTAACAGGTGTAGTTAAAACCTACCAAACTCTCCGTCAACCATGTTACTCTACCCTGGACAAATAGAATGAGGGAAGTTAACAGGAGTGTTTCTCTCGTCAACCCCCTGCAGTGTAGAGTCCACGATAAGTCTACATTGTTCACATAGCTGGAGTTGCATAGCTTAAGTTGACTTTTTCTTGTAGTGTAAATGTAGACTTTGATGCCATATGACAATGCAATACAACCACATTTGGTGTTGCTCACCAAAACCTCTATTTACAAAACAAACAAACAAACAAAAAAAACCCTTTTCAATAGAAAATCTTTAGCACTTTACTTGATTTTTATAAGATCATTAAATATAATGTTGTTTTTTCTTGATCAGGTTCTCCAGTTGATTTTCAACCAATTACTCAACAGAAGGAGTCTTCTCAGAGCTTGGAGCCTAAACGTGCTCCTCCCCCTCGCCCATTGGCTCCACCTACACGGCCTGCTCCACCACAAAGACCACCTCCACCATCAGGTAATGGAGTTTATATATACCATATGATGGACAATATTTTGATGTACAATTTTACTTAAGTCCATGATTTTTTTTCTTTTAGCCAGACGACTGTCTTTTTCTTCACAAAATATATTTGATCCATTTCACTAATTTTTTTTAAATGAGTTTTTTCAGTTACATTTTATATATCTCCGCTACTTATGATTACTTTGTAATATTCAGTTGTGCTAATTGGAGCTAGGAATATAGTCTTCCTATGGATGTCTGTATTTAACGTTTTCATTGTGACATTTTAATGTTTCTTAAAACTAATTCTTAGTCTGTCACTAATTAAATTCAGAAGTTGATATTCCACTTAACATTTGAGTAAGTATGATTGCATATATATGTTGATTTAATATAGAAACTAGATGTTTAGTGATCATATGTGAACAATGTAATAACTAACCAAAGTGACTCTTGATGTTTGTAACTTTCTCTTTTTTTTTTTTTTTTTTTTTTTGTACTGACATTTTTTCTTTAATGCTGCGTATATTTCTTGTATACTATAAGGGGGTAGGAGTCCTGCAACTTCTAGAAAAGAATTTGGAGGTAATAATTTAATTGTGTTTTCAAACATGACTAACAAATAGCACAATTTCTGTGATCCTGCCTTGAGGGCGGGGGGCTGGACTCGATGACCTCTCGAGGTCCCTTCCAGTCCTATTATTCTATGATTCTATGATTAATATAACAGTAAATTTATCCTGAGAATATTTTTAATCTGATACTTCCCAAAGGTAGAAATTGACATGTTGTGGCATATATTCAATTTCTTAAAAATAAATCATTCTTTTAAAACCCAATATCCTTTTTTCTTTCTGAGAGCCCTTGAACTCTATCCTCTTACTGGAGTTACAGTTTAAACTTAGTGGTCAGGAAATTTGGGACAGTAGCTGCTGCTTCTTGATGAAAGGAGCATGAAAATATTTCTTCAACAGTTATTGCCTTGCTATAGCTATGTTAGTTAAAACTGATCTAGACCTTCAATTTAAACTTAGTTAATATGTACAATTTTTTAAATTAAAAGCTGTCTTCAGCTGGAGTTCCACTGCTTTTCTCTACATAACAAGCATTATAAAAAGCATTCAGGAAAGACAAAAGGAAAAACTATGTAGCACTTTAAAGACTAACAAGATGGTTTAATAGGTGATGAGCTTTCATGGGCCAGACCCACTTCCTCAGATCTGGGGAAGTGGGTCTGGCCCACGAAAGCTCATCACCTATGAAACCACTGCGTTAGTCTTTAAAGTGCTACATAGTTTTTCCTTTTGTTTTTGAAAGATCAGACTAACACAGCTACCTCTCTATTACCGTTCAAGAAAGGTATTTCTAAGTTCACCCACAATACCCTCTCTTGTGCTTTTAAGACAGAAAAAACAGTTTTACTTTTATATTTAAAAAAAAACGTAAAAAAATTAAATGGAAAATAAAAGGAATAGTTGTAAAAGTGAAATGTGTACAAATTGCATGAAAAATGTTTAAAGGACAACATAATAGTGTCTCAACTAACTGTATATCCCCAAATGGGGGGAGGGAATAAAAAGACCCAAAAGAGGTGGCTGAACAACACACTGGAAGAAGCAGTTAGTGAGACACATACACATACAACTTTTAAAAATTTGAAGTTACTTCTTACTGAGAAGAATAGAAAGGAACACACTCTCTGGCAAGTAAAGTGTAAAAAATATAATTAGGCAGGCCAAAAAAGAATTCAAAGAACAACTAGCAAAAGACACAAAAACGAACATCAAAATATTTTTAAGTACATCAGAAGCAGGAAGTCTGCCAAGCAATCATTGGGGCCACTGGATGATCGAAGAGCTAAAAGAGCACTCAAGGTACCAAAGCCATTGCAAAGAAGCTACATGAATTCTCTGCATTGATCTTCGCTGCAGAGGGAGATTTCCAAGTCTGAACCTTTTTTTGGAGGATTGGGAACTGTCCTATTTGGTGTATCAGCAAAGAAGGCTTTGGTACAAATTAGTAAGTAAAACAGTAAGAAGTCACCAATACTAGATGGTATTCACCCTGAGTTCTTAAAGTACTCTGTTGCAATATTGCAGAGCTACTAGTTGTGGTATTTACCTTTTGCTTAAACCAGCCTCGGTACCAAATTACTGGCAAATAGCTGAAGTAATGTAGATTTTTTTTAAAGGCTCCAGAAGCAATCCTGGTAGTTACATGCCAGTAAATCTAACTTCAGTACCAAGCAAATTAGTGGAAACTAGTAAATAATATCAGATCCCTAAAGAAACATATGTTGAGAGAAAGGTCAATATGATTTTTGTAAATGGAAATCATGCTTCACCAATCTTATAATTCTTTGAGGGTGTCAACAAGCATGTGGACAAGGGTGATCCAAAGTGTACTTGAACTTTCAGAAAGCTTTTGAAGTTCCTCTCATCTAAGACTATTAAGCCTTTGCTTAATAAGCATTCCTGGGTAAAAAGGAAGGTCTTCTGATAGATTCATGACTGGCTAACAGGAAACAAAGGGTAAGGATAAATGGCCTGTTTTCATAGTGGAGAGATGCAAATAGTGGAGTCCCCCATGGTTCTGTATTAGAATGTGTGCTGTTCAACATATTTATTATTGATCTGAAAAAAGGGGTAACAGTGAGATGGAAAAGTTTGCAAATGATTCAAAATTATTCAATATAATTAGGTCCAAAGCAGACAAATTAAAAAAACAACCCCTCACTAAATGGGGTGACTGGGCAACAAAATGGCAGATGGAATCAGTGTTGATAAATGCAGAGTAATCTAGTGAAAAATATGACTCCAGCTACATACATAAAATAATAGTGTCTAAATTTGCTGTTGCCACTCAAGAAAAAGATCTTGGAATCATTGTGGGTAGTTCTCTGAAAACATCTGCTCAATGTGCAGAGGCAGTCAAGAAGCTACCATAATGTTGGGAAACATTTGGAAAGAGGTAGATAAGATGGTAAATATCATAATGCCACTGTATAAATCCATGGTACATCAACCTTGAATACTGTGTGTAGTTCTGGGCACCCCATCTGAAAAAAAGATATATTGGAAAAGGTACAGAGAAGAACAGAAAAAATAGTTAGGATAGTCAAACAGCTTCCATCTGAGCAGAGATTAAAAAGACTGTGACCGTTCAACTTCGAAAAGAGACATCTAAGGGGGAGGGCATGACAGAGGTCTACAAAATAGTTATGTGGCTAAAGTGAACATGGAAGTGTTCTTTATTTCTTCATATAACATAAGAACTAGGGATCGCCCAATGAAATGAACAGGCAGCAAGTTTAAAACAAACAAACAAAAGTATTTCTTCACACAATGAATAGTCAATTTGTGGAGCTCATTGTTTAGAGGATGTGAGGGCCAAAACTATAACTGGGTTCATAAAAGAATTGGATAAGTTCATGGGCCATGGCCAAATAAGTATGATGGTCAGGGATGCAACTCTGCATGTCTTTAGCCTCTGACTCCCAGAAGCTGCCTCTGGGCAATGGGATTGATAACATGGTAACTGCTCTTTTCTATTATTTTCCTCTGAAGTGTCTGAGGCTGTGTCTGGACTACATCCCTCTTTCGACAGAGGGATGTAAATTAGACACTTCGAAATTGCAAATGGATTTAAATATCCTGCGCTTCATTTTCATAATCTTGTCATGGCGCTCTTTCGAAAAAGCGCCATTTCTAAAGTAAAATCGCAGTCTAGATGCGGTTCTGTGGAAAACGGCAGGTTTTTTCGAAAGATCCTGTAAACCTCATTTTTTGAGGAGTACAGGATCTTTCGAAAAAGCCTGCCGTTTTCGACAGAACCGCGTCTAGACTGCAGTTTTACTTTAGAAATGGCATGTTTTCAAAAGAGCACCATGATGCAATTATGCAAATGAAGCATGGGATATTTAAATCCCCGCTTCATTTGTAAATTCGAAGTGTCTAATTTACATCCTTCTGTTGAAAGAGGAATTTAGTCTTAGACACAGCCTATCACTAGCAACTGTCAGAAGACAGGATGCTTGCTGGGCTAGATAGACCCTTGGTCCTGAGACAATATGGGCTGTTCTTATGTTCTTATGATGATGACTATGCATATACAAGTATTCCTAATCTTGATTTCAGGTCCAGGTACAAAATAGCTAATTTAGAAGAGAATTCTGGGTATTCATATATGCATGAACATACCATATGTCAAACTCCTTTTTAAATTTCCCCTGACTGTTACTTCCAGAAGAGATTTGTCAGTGAGAGTTAAACTTAACATGTACCAGTAGGCAAGAAAGTGCATGTTCCAGAAAAATAAAACTGGAAATTTTTGGAGAGTTCTGCAAAACAAGATAAATGTTGTATACAATACATAAGTTAACAATGTATGCTTTTTACTGTATCGAGCCAAAAATGTATAAAGCATTTCAATATTTTTGAGGGGGGAGAAGGAAACATGACAAGCCTTTTGAACTTCTGGGATATAGATGAACATTACAATAAATAATGGGAAAATAGATTATTTAGCATGTGCAGATGGTGAGAAGCATATTAAAATTTCATGTAGCTGTGCAATTGTCACATGCCTATAACCTATATATGCATGCACACAACTCTTGTGTGTGTTTACAGATATATTATCCATATTTATCTTTAAATGTAAACACAATCCATTTACTCAATTTCTTGAGTATTAAATAGGTACAAGAAAGTATTTATGCTGCACCAAGCAAGTTGTCAAAATCCAATTTTGCCAGCATTTGGTAATGATCTGTAATTTAAGATGAACCATTTGAGGTTTAATTAAAATAATTACAATTTTAGAAAGCAACTAATGTTGCACTTTCTGCATCATCTTGCATGTTTAGTTTCTGTCCTATGTCATTGCCAACCACTTTTCTGTGCTGTGACGGAATCCTGTCTAGCCTTGCTCCAGTCTAAGCTGTGAAAACACTAGCGCCTTCCAATGAACATTACAAATTATTTGACTCTTATGTGACCAGTAAATAAAATTGTCATGACATCTTTCATTTCCCATCCTAGCCTTACATTCAGCTTATTCTTTACTTCCTTCATGCCTTTTGCCTTGCTGCTCCATATACTTGGAATAGGCATCTTCTGCATCTTCATTCCATCCCTTCGTACCTCTTCTATCAATTACTCCTTTCTGCTGCCATTACTAATTCCTTGACACCTCTCCTTGAACTGTTATCCTGTCTCATGTTGTTTCTTTCATTTTATTTACTTTGGAAGCTATTTAGATCTGATCTATATTTGTAATGCATGGTATAGATGATACTACATAACTTTAAAAATAAGTTGCAGCACATCATATACAATAAATATCAGATAGTGCTCAAAGACCTATGTAGTAAATACACTGGGGGTGAGTTAAGGATAGTTTTCATGTCCTCTTTAATTATAAATTGATGTACTGGTATGCATGAAAGTTAAACCCTTTTCATCAATTTGAACATAGACCTTTTATTTAATACTTTTCCCCATAAAATATTGGCTTTTAACTTTTATCTCAGACACTTCACCTTTTTTAGGGTCTGTGGCACTCCTTATGACCCTGTGCATTTGGAAGACTCCTAGTGAGACTCTAAACTTTCCCATATTGTAATCCTATCTTGTATCTGTTTTAGGAATAGGCTAGAACTCAGGAGTAGGGGGTTGTTTTTGTTTTCAGCTTTTGGATATTCTCATATAGCTTGGTGGCTCAAGCTGATTTTCATTGGATACCTTATAATCATAATATAATTCGTTTTCACTTTTTTTGGAGTTCAGGCATCAGTGCTGGAACTGGGAGTGTTGCTGCTCCCCCTGGCTTGAAGTAGTTTTCATCATGTATAGTTCGGTTCAAAGTTTCTCAGCAATCCCCTTAACAAATTGTTCCAGCACCTCTGAGTTCAGGATTAAGTTTACACATTTTGTAGTGCCATATGTATTTATGATTTAGAAACAAAGCAAGTCATTTTTTTTACAGAATATGAAGAAGAAAGTTAATGATTGTGACTTGTCAGCATTGTGTAATATTTTTTGTTTTAGCAATACCAAGTTCTATACAGAAAATATTTGTTTAACTGTATGAAGGACTAAAAGTTGTTGTTAGTGTAAAAACTGTTGTTAATATGGAGTTAGTTTACCTTAAAAGAAATACAAATAACTAAGGTAGGAGATACAGTTTATATACGCAAGCAACCTGTACTCCACCCGAGGTGATATCATGAAATAACCAGATAGTGAAAATCAGTGCATAATGTTTGTACTCTGAGATCAGGTTAAACTGGTTGGGAGACCCAGTCCATTTTCAGAAGGGTAGTCGTGTTAGTCTGTGTCAACAAAAACAACAAGGAGTCAGGTGGCACTTTAAAGACTAACAAATTTGTTAGTCTTTAAAGAGCACCAGATCACTTGTGGATACATTTCCTCCCCTCTCTCCCCCCCTTCTGTTGTGTCTCTGGGGGAGAGTTAAGGTTATTTTGATGAATTAAGACATGGCAAGCAGTTAGAAAACTGGTAATTCTTTCTGGAATTCTGTTCAAAACAAAAAGTATGCATCCTTTACTAAGAAGAATTTTTCAATAATGAAGAAAAATGACAAAAATGCTATTAATTAAAAAATGTCTTATAGTATACTAAATTTCTGAAAGGAGCATTTTGCAAGTAAAGCTTAATTTGAGTGAAAAATTTGAAAAGTTTCAGAAAATTCATTCAGTACACAAGAGTAAGTGCTGTACTTTGGAGAGGATATACTGTGTTCTTCAAATAATACAAAATGGTTACACTTAAGTGTGAAACTCGACTCAGCCTTCCCTATAGAATAGGGACTGGAGCCTCCATAATTTAGCTGTATCTGATATTGCTATGCTATGCTAGGAGTGCTCTCAGTGTTATTTCTGAAGTATATTGGGATTGCTACTGTACCTGTAGGCTCACACTGGGGGCAAGTATGTAATGAAGAGATTGTGGGGGCAGCCAGTCTGGTAACTGGAGTAGAACGAGATAGGGAGAATAATTTTCACACTGGATAAAATAGTTATTTAAGGAATATACTTAAATAAGCTTTAAAACTGACAACTCTCTGCAGTGGACTAGAAAAAAGTGGACATTAACTAAGATGGCACTGGAATATTGTCCTTAATCAAAACAATAATTTGTTTATTATGAAAAATAAATACAACACATTTCAGCATTTTATCAATAGCAATTCATCCAGTATATACAAACCAATGGATTATACCTATCAGTTTCACTCCTTAAAATGGTTGTGTTCCTGGGAAAAAGGGCTCTGAAGGAAATGTGATTCACTAAAATAACTTCAGTCGCAAGGCCCTTTCTAAGACAGTCAAAGAAAATATCAAATGGCATTTTCACACACGCGCGCTGCTATAAAAAATATCAAGTGGTGCACAAACAACAATAAGCAGCGAAAAGTGATACTGTAATCCGAAAGACAGAATTTTTGTGGACCTTTTCACTACTGTTAAAATAGAAATCCTGGTGTAACCAGCACTATTGCCACCATAATATTGTTGTACCATGTTAGTCAGGTAGAATTAGTGGTGGAAGTTGAGATAATTTGATCCAGGTGTTCCCCACAGTATGATCTTTGAATTTTCAGTGTTTTAAAATCTGTGAATATATTGTATGCCACAACAAGAGTCAGGGGAATACTAGTTGTAAATTTGGAGTTTAGCTCAAAGGTTTTTCAGACACAACCTCTCAATGAGGACCTTGTTTTAATATTCAGATTGTTCTAAAGCTCACATGCATGGAGAGACTGTTTTGAAATTTTGTATTCCACAGTAGGTGCTGAGGTAAACATTGGGGCAAGAGGGAAAGAACACTCAAGTAGATGAATGAGTCAAATCATTCCTCTGCATGAGGAAAATTGTGCAGAATCCCTCCCGCTGCGCTAGGCTTTGAAGTAGAGTATGGAGCCTGGGACTTCCCTCCACTCTTCCTCTTTGTTGCCTCCAACTGGTAGATGTGTTCACACCCCATCAGTCACTGCTTACCATCTTCCCTTGCTAAAAATGTGGAGGGGAAAAGGGAAGGAAAAAATTGGTAGCTGAGTGGCTGTTAGGCGTTCCCAGGAAGCCTCTTTATGCTCCCCAATTATGTCCTCTCTACCACCACTCTGCCTCTACTAGCTGGCTCTGCTTAGCCTCCGTGTGGCCACAGAGATCTGCTGATGGAAGAAGACTATATAAGAATTAGGCAATAATATAATATTTACTCTGCACAAACCACTCTATAGATATTGTATGTTATCATCCCTTCCTTGGTTCATATCCTAAGGATTACCTCTGAAATATCACTAGCACTTGGATCTGTCTTGTAGTGCAGTGTTACGCACCACCAGACAGCTACAAATGCTCAATAGCAAGAGAATATTATGTCCTCTATTTTCACAATCCACAAAACTCAGAACAGAAACAAGAATCCCTCATGCCTTTGGACTCAGCCATACCTCTCCTCATATTTTAGCGGGAGCAGTAGGAACCAATTGCAAGATATAGTTGTCCTTAAAACAGGGCAGTTGATGTGCATGCAAATGAATGAAAGTATACAGTTTTGAAGGAAACCATATACTGGGTAAATAGCACATGCCGTTCTTCATGTCTGCTTAGGGCAGCCTGGGATGAAGCATTTGGCTCCTCCACATAGAGAAATTGAATGGCAGAACTATGTGGTGTACAACTATTGTTATGCAGGGCAATACCTTGTGTGGATATTTTATTCCAAAGTAAAAGTGACTTATGGTATAATTACTCCCACATAATTATAGCAATATAATATAATTAAGATATTTTGGAAGAATGTAAGGCCCTGCCAATCAACTGTAATTGTGCCTTAATTTTTTTAGGCATTGAATATAGCAGAAAATTAAATTCTCTTCATTGAAAATGTAGAATTGAAACCATGTAATAGTTGTAAACAGTAACTGAATTGTTGAGTTATTTCCAGTTAGTGTGGTTTTTTTTGTGCTGCTGCAAGTGGTAAGAGTGCAGTATGGTTAGGCCATTTAAAAATTGCTTAAATGTGAAAGCTCTTTTGTTTGTTGCAGCCTGTATGTTTCTGCCTCTTTTCAGTCTATTGCTTTTCTTATGCAATATACAGCTTCTCTTCTTTCTCTGAAAAGGTCTTGGCGCTCCTCCCAGTCCTGGGGTAGCTAGGAGAGAAATAGAAGGTAACATTATGATTTTTGCATGGTAGAAATGAATCTTCAAATTAATACTTTTATGACATTAGTTTCTCCACTACTTGAAGATACTCTTGCTGTTTATATCTGTCAGTTTGTTGTATAACTCCTAAACTTTTATCCTTCTATAATATATTTTTCCAAACTTTCTTATATTTAATTAGTTGCATTTGTTAGTTGTTTGCAACTTTACGTTGTGAAACATAAATCAAAATTCACTCATGAAAGATAAAATAAAAAATTAAATTGTAGTAATGAAAACTCTCAAGATTTAATCTCATAATTGTTTTAAATAAGTCAGCATGATGCGTATATATGTGCAGGGCTGGGTAAAGGGAAATCTTTAAGTGCTCATAGGTATCTGATAGGAAGGAGATTTTGACTATAGAAATATTCTTTATTTTATCTGTGACTGGCAAGATTTTTTTTCTTTTAAACAGAACTGAATGTCATATGTACTTTCAAGGGAGTAATTTCCACTAAAATATTTTAGCACACTGAAAACAGTATGTTGCTGTGGTAGAAAGGGCTAGCCACTCTGAGTACACACTTGTCTCAAATGGGATCATGCTTGAGACAGCTAGCATTGCCATGGCTGCTCTCAATCTTTAAGATGCTAGCTTAATTGTGGCTAGCATGGGAATGTCTACTCAAACTAGAAATTGACCCTCCAGCTCTAATGTAGATATACCATAAGGTCATGTCTATTCTAGAGAGCTTGTAGCAGCGCAGCTGTGCCATTGTAAAATCTGCCGTGTAGTCGCTCTCCTATCAGCACAGATACCTTTCCTGTCCCCAAAGTTAAATCGCGGCCAATGAGTGGAGGTAGCTATGTCAGTGGGAGAATATCTCTCACCAACCAGCACTTCAGTAAATTTATGTTTCTGGGGTGGAGGTTTCACAGGCCTGAGCAACATAAGTTATACTGACAAAAGAGCTACTATAGACATAACCTCTGAGAGAAAAAATATCTGCCAATTAGAGCAACTTAACTAATTAAGAGCTGCCTGTCTTGTGATTAGATGCCCCCATTATTGGGCATATTTAAGGTTACCGCAGCTGACATTGAGACCTTCTTTCTTTCTGGAGGCATTGAGTTGTAAGTTTGTGTCAGCTAGATTTTTTTAACATATCTTGCACTTCATGATTTGAGTGCTGCATTCAAGGCTGATCATCAGAATCATCATTCAAATGTTGACCTAATTATCAAAATGTTGTATCCAATAACAGGAAGTTAGAGCCAGGAACCTGTACATAAGTTCTTTAACTCACTGAATAATGTACAATTATAGACAGACTTTGAGATCATGTTTTGAATCAGCTTCTCTTCCTAAAATCATCCTTTTTGAAGACCATAGTGCCTAGAATATGCTATACTGTACAGCAACTTCCCAGTCATAGGGGCAGTCTTAATTCTAATATTAGTAACATGGGCAATATCTGCAAGAAAAAGAACTCTCTCAAACGTATTTTTCATCACTAATGCAATTCTATTGTTCCCATTTCTGTTAGTGATAACATACCATTATTGCATAATATCAGTTTGCACCTGATCTGTCAAAGAAAATTTCATTTGTGACTAATTTTTCTTCATGCTTCAGAGTTTAAAAAAAAAAAAGTTCTGGAACACAAAATAAAAACATAAATTGGGTAATATAGATAAATATTTTGCATTAATTATATTATAGAAAATTTCAACTTAGAAATACATCTTTAATCAGTGGTCTCTAATGGCTTTTTACAGTTCGTAGTCAGCCTCCGCCTGCAGCTGGAGTCATGAGCACAGGAACTGTGGGATATAGTGCAGCCAGACCGGTAGGCATTCAAACTTGTATTTTTACTGAGGTGTAAAATGTTTGTTTATTAGAGCTCCTGCTTTTCATGCAAGTGTCCTATTGCTTAGGTGATATTAGCTCTTTCAGTTGGTTCTTCGTTGTAACCACAATAGCAGATTCAGAGGAAACTGGAAATAAGAGTAGCCTATTCTGTATAGAATAATTTTGTGTGTTTGAGGCATTGAGTGTCCATCAATTTGTGAAAGAAAGAAGCTATGGAATCAACTTGTTAAACCGAATTTAGGCTAGATATTATGAAATATTTTTAAAAATAAAAATAATGTAAGCTATATTTTGGTTTTCTACATGAAATTTTAGGGAATTCCACGCACAGAAAGTGCATTTACAGAATGCTTGGAGATTTATGGTTAAGATGGGTTTTATCTGTATCAGTGTCTGCCAGTACATGATATTTCCTGGTGAACTGATGAGGAGGGGGCCATATCCAGATCAATTACTTCTTGGCTGTGTAGTTAAGGTCCATCTTCGCAGATTCTTAGATACTTACAGCTATCCATCTTTTTTTTAAAAGAGGCAGAAATATTGAAAATGTACTTAAATTTCTGAATTGACTCCATGGGCATTCGCTGGCTATTAGAGAATGTTGTCTCCCTTCTCTTCAGCAGTGGTCCCCTTAGTTCAGCTCCCAAAATGATGCACACTGTGGGAGGAAGACTTCGAAAGCACTGCATGTTGTGCATTAATTGGCTCTTGTAGACTCTGCTCGTGTTCATTAAGGAATTTTTGTTAGTAATACTTGAAACAGCGCTATGCTAAAGAGTGCTAGAGAACTATTAGTGCATGCCTGCAGAGTTTACAAAGACCAGTTAAGATTCTGTATGTTTGTGTACTTCTAGAAATCACACCCCTGTAGTGCGCATTACCCTACTATGTAGACATGACCAGTGTTCCTATAAGCTGAGCATTTGGGCGGCCACCCAGCTGATTAGCAGAGCGCCCACAGCTGCTCAGTGTATCGCATGTTTCTGTTGGTGGTGCACATCTGCCCATTCCTCGGGCACATAACAAAACTTATTCCGCCCAAGGATGAAAAAACTTAGAGGGTACCTCGGACATGACTTTAGCCTTCATACATGTCCTCTTGAGAGGTACTGAAGGAGATTTTTGCCTTTACTATAAACAGGATAACTCTCTTCTTTAGCTCCAAAGTTTTCCATTATCAATACAGCACATGAACTCAATAACCTGCCACCAAGTTCGCTCTTGAGAATATAAGAATGATCATGCTGGATCAGATCAAAGGTCCATCCAACCCAGTGTCTTGAGTTCCAACAGTGTCCAATGCCTCCCCAGAGTGAATGAACAGATAAGGCAATCAAGTGATCTATCTCCTGTCATCCATTCCCAGCTTCTGGCAAACAGAGGTTAGGAACACCATTCCTCCACAGCCATTGCAATTGGGTCAGATCCCCACCTTCTAGGAAAGTGGCGATTAGTTCTGAGATCTCTTCAGAAATCTACATGGCTTGATTTCCTCCTGGTCTGCAGCTAGGCAATTGCATTGAGGAGAAGCCATTGAGGCAAAGTCCTTACAAGCCATAAGGTTGAATCTGAGTCCACTATCCTCCACAAAACCAGAAATGTACCTCATTATGGACCACCTTCATACCTCCTTAACAAGTAAGAAAGCAAACACCCTACAAAAAGAAAGCAGAGATTATTTCAAATCTGCAGTTGTTCTTGTACCTCTATTACTGAAATAGCATTTCTGTTGCCTCAGATCTGACTGAATTTCTAGTGCCAGGATTTTAGTGTAATTTTTCAATAATCTGGCCTTCATTATTCCACCAGAAGTGACCATCATACCACACACTATTTATAGACATGTGTGTTCCTTCAAATTAAATTCCTTTTTGGAATAGTTTCATATTTCTCCTTCAATGCTGTTTGAGACATGGGAATAATCTTTTTTCCTGTCCTATCCCTTGCTTCCCTTTTCTGGAGTTGACATGAGACTTGCCAGTACTAAATAAAAAGAGATACTTCAAAGAAGTTGTTAAAACTGGCTGACATCCAGCAAAGATTCCACCAGTAATTCCTGTTCCTATGCTACAAAGCATTGATTTTGATCTGATTTGTTCAGTTTAAATGAACCATTTTTTCAATAAAAGAAATTTTGGGGGAAAAAAGCCAATCCCTCAAAGGTCCACATCTTGGCAATTGTTGGCATAATTCAGTAAATCAAACCAAATCTCATCCCTTCCTTTTCATATGTGAAGGGTTTCTTAAAAACAACATCTAAACTTCAGTCCAAAACTAATTGGTTTTTAGAACCCTAACCCGCTAATCATTCAAATCTCAGAGCTCAATTTCCTTATTTTCCTTTCCTTACCAGCCTTTCTGGCAGCAGATACTTCTGCTAGAAGACTTTCAAAATTAGAGACAGCTAGTGTCCTAATTGCTCCTTCCATGAACACTGAGGGTACATCTACGCAGCAGTGTTATTTCAGAATAACGGACATTATTTCGAAATAACAAAATGTGCATCTACACAGCAAGCTGCCATTTTGAAATAATGTTGACCAGGAGGACTTCTTACTCCAACTCTTGTAACCCTCATTTCACGAGGAGTAAGGGAAGTCGAAGAGAGTGTTCTTCCTTTGACCTCCTGCTGCGTAGACAGCACCAAAAGCCGAATTAAGGTATTTTGACTTCAGCTACATCAGTTTATGTGGCTGAAGTTGTGTATCTTAATTTGACTTTTGCCCTGCAGTCTAGACGTGCCCTGAGTCTACAGGACTGCGTCAGCCGTTATTTCTACTCTGTTCTGATTCAGAGGAGCCTGTATAGGTTTACTAAGGAAAACAACTTCATTTATAGATCTTGAAACTATCATCCTAAATATCCAAAGAAAAAGAAGTGGACATGTTTCTTTGGATAGGTTTTATTCTGACCAAATTTATTCCTTAAAACTACCTTTGGGTGTGGATTTTTGTTAAACATTAAACATTGCCTTTTAAATCTGTGTAAGTGTATTTGGTCAGATCAAGGCCACTTGTTTTGTTTTAAGACAAAGTATGAGGAATTATGCATATAAGTTTTGTTCCAAAAACATACATGGGCCTTTCTCATTTCTGTTAAATCTCACAGTAGGATTGGCAAATATGGATAAATTGGACAGAAAACATTTGCTTTACAGGATCATTTGTTTTCTTCTGGTATCTATTCAGGCAGCATGGAGACATACCACACAGTTTATAGGCATGTGTGTGTGTTCATTCAAATTAAATTCTTCTTTGGAAATAGTTTCATATTTCTCCTTCAGTGCTGTGCTCTGTGAGTTCCTCAGAAAAGGAGGATATTCAACATATGTTCTGCTGCTCTTTGATTAAGCCAGAATGAATTTTTGTCTCCATCTTGCTTGGAGACACTGCATCCCCTGTAAGATTTGTGAACATGGGTTCTAAAGAATAAGTCTCATGTCAGCTTAGTACTGTACTGCACATCACAGGTTTTCGGGGCATGGAATGCATTATAACTGGACTTTGTAAAGGGCTCCATAAACTTATAGAATTGTATAAATGACACTTACAACAATGGCCTATTATGACTTTCCCATCCTAAAGTATCTTAGATTCTGGAAAATGGTGATTCTTCACTTCCCTCCTGCAGTAGTACTCTTTTGCTTCAGTATAGAAATGACCTCTGAGTTGTAAACAAGTCCACCAAATTTTTGTTGGAAATTTACCAATTCTAACATAACTACTACTTCTTCCACTGTGGACATGAACATACATTCTTCTTAGAGAGGTCCCCGTGGATGCTCCATGCTGGGCCTTGGTGCCATCGTGGTGCCTGGATCGGAGATTTTGAAGCAGTGTTTATGGGGGCCACACATGCGTAGCACCAACCGGTGCATGCCTTCTAATAGGCACCGCGCATGCGTGGCCTGCACCCTCCAGTGTCTTCTTAACCACCCTTGGCCTGAGATGAAGCTCCGCAGTTCCTTGCTTTTTGACAATTCTGCAGTAGTTTAGAGAGTTGTAGTTAGTTTGTTCTTATTGTTAGTGTTGTTTAGTGAGTTTAATCGTTTTTTTTTTTTAACTTTTCTTTTACATAGAATCATAGAATACTAGGACTGGAAGGGACCTCGAGATGTCACCAAGTCCAGTCCCCTGCCCTCACGGTAGGACCAAATACTGTCTAGACCATCCCTGATAGACATTTATCTAATCTACTCTTAAATATCTCCAGAGATGGAGATTCCACAACCTCCCTGAGCAATTTATTCCAGTGTTTGATTACCCTGACAGTTAGGAACTTTTTCCTAATGTCCAACCTAAACCTCCCTTGCTGCAGTTTAAGCCCATTGCTTCTTGTTCTATCCTCAGAGGGCAAGATGAACAAGTTTTCTCCCTCCTCCTTATGACACCCTTTTAGATACCTGAAAACTGCTATCATGTCCCCCCTCAATCTTCTGTCTTCTAAACTAAACAAACCCAATTCTTTCAGCCTTCCTTCATAGATCATGTTCTCTAGACCTTTAGTCATTCTTGTTGCTCTTCTCTGGGCCCTCTCTAATATCTCCATATCTTTCTTGAAATGCAGTGCCCAGAACTGGACCCAGTACTCCCAACTGAGGCCTAACTAGTGCAGAGTAGAGCGGAAGAATGACTTCTCATGTCTTGCTCACAATACACCTGTTAATGCATCCCAGATTCATGTTTGGTTTTTTTTGCAACAGCACCACACTGCTGACTCATGTTCAGCTTGTGGTCCACTATGACCCTTAGATCCCTTTCTGCAGTACTCCTTCCTAGACAGTTGCTTCTGAGAAGATATGCACAATTCTCATCATTCACAGTCGTGACGATTCCATGTGCTCCTCCTACACATATAAATGTAAACGCTTTTCAGTATGGTGCACTTCCAAAGGATATCAGTGCCCCTGATGCTCATCTTGGACTACCTCCTCGTTATGAAACAGTCATCGCTCTCGTTCAGCACTATTAAAGTTCAACTAGCGGCCATTATGGCCTTTCATCGCAAAATTGAGGGTTGGTCCATCTTTACTCACCCCACAATCAAGAGGCTCCTTAAAGGGCTGTGTCTCCTATATTGTGACGTCTCATAACCCGTACCATCCTGGGACCTGGGTCTGGTACTATGAGCTCTCACCAGACCACCACCCTTCCAGCATCTTGCATCTTGCTCTTTGGCACACCTCTCTATGGAAGGTAGTTGCTTTGTTGGTGGCCCTAACATTGGCCCACCGCATTGGTGATATGGCGGCTCTCATGGCCGACTCACCTTTCATAATATTCACCCGCCGTACGCAACTAAAATAATTCCCTAAGGTGGCCGCCTCGTTTCGTATAAATGAGTCACTGAACTTACCTGTATTCTTTCTGAAACCACATGCCAATGCATTTGAGGCTTCCATGAACCAGGTATGCACTAAGTTTCTATTTGCGGAGAAGCGAACCCTTGAGGCAATCCTCTTGGCTCATCTTAGCATTTAACGAACCGGTTAAAGGGCAACCCATATCGAAACAGAGATTGTCCAAATGGATCACCATTACACCCTTAAGGGCCCACAACCACCCTTAACTTTTGATGGCTAATTCCACTAGTGCTATATCCTCCACCATGCATACCTACACAGTGTCCCGCTTTCAGACATTTGCAAGGCAGCCACCTGGATGTCTCAACTTACTTATGCTAAGCACTACACGTTTTCCTATGGGCATGACACCACTCTGGACTTTGCAGTTCTATCATCAGCCTTCTGCAATATTCTGAAGCCCCAGCCTCCACATGCCGATACTGTTTGCTAATCACCCAGCGTGGAGCATCCATGGAGACCTCTTGAAGAAGCAGCAGAGTTTACTCACCTTGTGCAGTAACTGGAGTTCTTTCAGATAGTGTCCCCTTAGTGTCCCCTTGGATGCGCCACAACCCGCTCTTCTCCCCTCTGCTGCGGACCCCTAAGGCCTCTGGGGTAAAGAAGTAACTGGAGGACACAGTGCCTACTGGAAAGCACACACTGGTTTGCGCTGCCCATGCACAGCCCCCACAGAGACTGCTTGAAAATCTCTGATCCAGGGACTGAGACAGCTCCGAGACCCAGTGTGGAGCATCCACAGGGACACCATCTCAAAGAACTCCAGTTACTGAACAAGGTGAGTAACCTCCATTTCTTTGAGACTGCAGAACAGAAATTTTAAACCATCTATGTGATTCCAGCTTCACTGGGTAAAAGACTGTCCTTTTTTTTTTTTTTTCATGTTTGTACCATTCTGAGAACAGTAGGGTTTCTTGTCTATGACTGGGGGCCCTTGGCACTTCTGCAATACAAAAGAACACAGCCAGTCATTCTGCAGAAGATCACTTCACTTCCAGAAATATAGCTACATTATTTTATTTTTACCCATTATTATTTCAGACTGTTCCACCCCGAGCTGGAGTTATTAGTGCACCACAAAGCCATGTCCGTCTATCTGTGGGGAGGCCAACACCTGAAACCCAAGCTAAGCCAGCTGAACCTTCAAGAGGTAATACTACACTTTAGAAGAAAAAGAAATGTAGTATACTGTTAAATGGCAAATGTAGGTTGGCTGCCTTATTACCTTAGCCAAGCCTGACCCACCTTTACCTTTGACTTGCTCCCAGCTGGAAAAACCTTCAGTTTGACATAAAAAGGAAGACTCTGCCATGTAATAATGTTTAGCAGTTCCTCATAATGTGGGAAATAATTGAAGTCAGCAGCCAGTGCCTTAAACTTCACTTAGAAGTAAGCCAGTTGCCAGTGCAGATCATGGAGCCTCAAGTATAATGTGCTTTTAGAGGAAAACAACTTACAAAATGGGCTGTCTCATTTTGCACTGGAAATAGTAGTATCTCCTACCTGAGTTGTATTTTGCTAGTAATTTTTAATGTATGAAGTGGAATATTAACAAATTGTGTACTGTGGTGGGCTGGTGCTCATGATGGCTATATCACTAGTGTTGTCTTGGGATTTTCAAAAGCACCTAAGTGATGTAGGAGCACATGACCACTTGACTTTTAAAGGGACCACCTTCAGCCTCCATCCTAAGGTGACAAAATTGTTTTAAGTATGTACTGTTCAGAGTATGCATACATTTTGTTCGACCTTCGTTATCTAGATATGCCTATTTTATTTATTGTATTTATGGAGTAGAGATCCAGAATATGTTTCTAATAAAATGCCTTGTAAATGTATTTGTAGGGTCATCTTTGCTTCCTGAACCTCTGAAGCCTCAGATTATGGTTCCTCTTCAACCCACTGTTCAGCCACCATCTGTTCAAAAAATGCAAGAGCCTCTTATACCAATGACATTGCCTACATCTCAGACCATACCTCCACAGAATTTGGAAGCACCGCCGCAACCACCTCCCCGGAGCAGATCATCGCACAGCTTGCCTTCAGAATCTGTTACTTCACAACAGCAAGTGAGTGTGCAATTCGATATTTTAGTGTTGTACCTTAACACAGCCTATCATGACTTAACGTGACAGATCACAGGGAAGCCCCCAAAGCAAAAAAAGTGCCATTCATGGTTAAACTTCTAATATCTAATCACAGCAGGAGAACAAACAGTACAGCCTGGAAGTACTTACATTCGGTAATCCTGTAGTGTCCATATATACTGAAGATGTAAACCCTGAATATTATTTTTTAAATGTCTTAAGTATTTTTAATTTTGATACAGTAACCTAAAATATAACATGCTCGTTCTTGTCATACAACAGTAGAATTGTAACCGTATACCTTAATATGAATATGAAAAAGTGTTTTCCAAAACTGAATGCATTTCACAAAACCACAAATCCATAGCTTACCAAATGGGCAACTTCACAGAGATAACTTAAGAAAAATCATCTATTTAAATCTTGCACACACATACTTAGTTTCCTTCTGGAGCCAATTCATTTCAAGGTGGGACTGCTGAGTCTAATTTTAACTCAAGTACATTTATTCTGTTTGCTTCATGGCATTCATTAAAATATACAGTCCATTAAAATAATTTGAAAAATTTAATTCAGTAACATTGAATGCTGTTATGTGTACAAATTTTGGATTGAAAATATTAAGTACAAGTCTTTTGAAAGTTTATGGGTCTAGATTACAGACACTTGGATATTTGTGCATCTGAAAATGATACAACCAAAGCTGGCTACAGACTTCAACTAGCCCTGGGCAGTGGTGGTGGGCGGGGGGACAGCTCCATTCTCACGGAAGTAGTGGGTTTGAAGGGGCCCTGCTAAGAGCTAGCCTCCCACAGCCGGCCCTCAGTGCCACCCAGGGCTCCTGCAGCAATTCAAAGAGTGGTGGCAGTCTGGATCCCCAAACCCCTTAAATAGGCCCCGGAGCAACTGTCCTTTTTGCTTGCCCCCTCCCCACCCACCGTGGCAGCAGTGCTGCTTACAACTCTGGTTGCCTTTAAGTAAATTACTGTAAAAATATTCATTATATGGGTTCTAGAACTATAAGGGTAATCAAAATGTTGTAATATAAAGTACATTTAAAACTAAAGTACAACTGATCATTTTAAGTATAAAATGTCATTTTCTGATCGAGTGAGAGATTTGAATGTTATAAGCCTTCTCTTACAAAATGAACTACATGGATGGACCTCAGCACCAACAGTTTTCTTTTTCAGGATTAGGACCTTAGTGTTTACATTGATCCATAGTTAGAATTTGCAGCCAATTTACAAGTGATTGGAAAAAAATCTTTCAGAATAATTGTAGATTATGGTATACCATGTGCTAATATAAAGTAATATCTGGCTTCAGTTAACCAGGTAGTATTTTGTGATCAAATTTATGAAATCCTGTGCTCCAGCTGTAGTTCTACTTGATCAAAATTTTAAAATTCTATATACAGGATATTTAAATCCACTGATACTCTTTTCTTCTATCTGTTGTATACATAACGTCAGACATATTTTTCATCACATGTACTATAGTATTTAAAATATTTTGGATAATAAGGATTATTGGGGTTGATGGTGAGGTACCTTGTATTTTCCCTCTAATTTTTTCCTTTGATGTCTTTTTTTTTCTTCCTTTCACAAGCAGGAGCAACCATCAGGGTAACAGGTACCTAACTACTTACCAATCTTATATGTGATCTCCATCTCCTCTAGCAGAAAAGATGTATGATTCTTCTTTTGCTTCATACATCTGCAGCCTCATCCATATTAAAAACCACTTGTCCACATTACTAAAATAACTATCATGCCATAAAGTTTGCTTTTTCCTTTCTTAGTAGATGAATATTGACAGAAGGAGTCTCTTCTTTGTTAGCACTGGAGTGAAAATTTGATTTCATCGTTTTTATAAATCAATTAAAGCTTTACATAGCTCATTTATTTTGTAAAACAAAATAGATCTTAGAAGTAATATGTACCATTACCTCAAATTTAGGCTCAATGCAGCTTTCTGAAAGTTTCTTCATGAGACCAGATTTTACCTTTTCAAAGTTCAAGCAGTAAAGTAGCTGTTTTCCTTGGAAGTAAAATATACTCCTTGCCTCAATATATAAAATTCAGTCCTTATGTGAGAATCAGTGAAAGAAAAGACTTTGTTTTGAAGACCTATCAGGCCAAATATTGTTTAAATATTTCTAGTTAAAATGAAAGAGTAATTGTGGTGTCGTAGTAGTTTTTGGGCAGCATACATTGAAATTACTTGCCTACTCAACAGGGGACTCAAGCAGACTAGTTGACTTGCATTTATCTTATAAACAATGAGCAATCCTGTAGCACTTAGAGACTAACAAATATATTATATTATGAGCTTTCATGGGTAAAACCTAATTCATTCATTGCTTATGAATTTGAGAATCTTGACACAGATTTTACCTTAAACATAATTCCTTCACTTTAGTTGATTATGGAGCATAAAACTATCAATAATAAGCAAAATGATTAATTTAACAAATCTTATATTTGGAACTTTTTTAGATACTGTTAGAGAATGTCAAAATTATATTGTAGACACTTGGTCACCCAAGGAAATTATAAAAGCAGAATTTTTTGTAAGTTTTTAAAAGATGAGGGAGTTGTATGGAGAAATTTTCGTTGGTCATATTCTAAACAATGATATTTTGTAATTTTAAAATGAATTTTCGGGTGGTGTTGAAAGGCTGGTGATCATCAATTCATATGCAGAGTAACAAGTGCCTTAACTTAGTCTTTCTAAGTAAAATATACATTAATTAATTTTTCATTCATTGTGATTCTTAAATATTGACCCATTTTATAAATTGAGTGAACAATAACTCCAATGCACTTAACACATTTTCTATGCTGTCAGTTGTTAAGAATATGCCATATTTGCCCCCAGTTCTTGCTAAAGAGTAATTATTATTTATTAAATGTGGTGTACAGTAGTGCTTCGATTCAGATAGTTGCATGAAATGTATTCAACTTGTATTAGTAAATAAGAGAAACATTTTCATATTTATAATAGCTATGGAAGTATTTGTCTTTGTGCACTTAGCAAATGGGATTTTTAAAAGAATGTTGCCTAGAAAACAAATAATCATCATTACTATGTGTACACTGTATAAATTAAACTGCAATGAGGGTTCTGTGTAAGTCCCAAAAATTCTATTCTTGGTACCGAAACAATAAGAAATGAAAAAAGTCAGGATCTTAAAAGCCAAACTGCAGTGCTATTAATGAACACCTTGTTTTCTTTACAGACTAAAGCAAATGGAGTCAATGGCATTAAACTTGAAACACAGTTAAACAATGACCCTTTTGAAGATCTGTCATTTAATCTGCTTGCTGCATCAAAGGTTCAGACATCTGTTCGAACATCACCTGTTCCAACTTTAAACCAAAAGGAGATGATTTGGTTGCCTTCTGCAGCACAAAGCAATGTTAACATTTTGAATACTGTAAATTGCACGTCAGCAATGCCTCCTGTTCCAGCCTATAGCAAATCCCAGGAACATATCCGCAGCTCTCCAAATTCATTGGTTACCAAACTGAACAGCACAAATCCTTTCACTGAAAGAACTATTAATGCTGGAAATCCATTTAGAACTGAAATCCAAGAACCTGAAGTAACTTCACAGCTTTTAATAGAAGGACCTGCTGCTTATAGCCTTCTCCCTTCTCTAAATCCTCCAAATCCTAATAAAGGCAAGCCTACATTCTCTGTCAGTGCTTTTGAGGACAATTTTTGTTTGCAAAATAAATCTTCAGTGGTAGAAAATGCAAAACCAAAAGGATGGGTAACATTTGAGGAAGAGGAAGATTTTCGTATAAAACTAAAGACGTCCTCTGATCATGTTACAGAATTCAAAAGAGTCAGTTCCAGGAAACGTACTGGTTTTCCAGATTTAGTGGGCACTGAACCAAATATATTTCCTGGTTCAGACTTTTCCTTTGATAATGACTGGAATTCTACTGATTCCTTCTGTACGCTGCCATCAAGAAGACCACCTGCACCTCCTATACCATCAAGAACAATCCACACCATATCTCCTGCAGATCCTTTTGCCTCGTTGACACACACAGTGTCACCAACACAAGATTTTACAGAAAGGTAGACATGCTAAAATACAAGAGATTTTAGGTTTGCTACTAGGTGCATCCAAAAGAATAATTGGGCATTGAGGTTATTCTGTGTGCAATAATTCATTGTCATATGCACTGAATCTTAATTCTGTTCATAACAACCACTGTTTTGTGTACAAATTTTGAATGTGTATATTTGGTAGCGCATAAAAGAGTTGTCCACAATTACTATAAATTTAGGTATAGTCATATTGAATGGATTAGTTAATAATCCTAATAGAATGTATAACACTCTTGGAAATTAGTTTTTTGTTTGAAGCACTTTTATTTGTGTTCTCCTCAGAGGAATTTCAAAATATTCAAGAGACTTCCAGCTGTTAGACCCTTCCATTCCCTTTTTACTGTTTGGTAACTGATATTTATAAGTGATTACCAAAGATCAGTCAAAGTTTAATCAGAATGTTGAATGTGGACAGGTACTATTTAGAAAGTAACTTGTATGAGAGGTTACAGAGATTTGTATGGCTTAATTATATTTAAATTTAAGGCACAAACTAAAATAGTTACTTTCAAAATACCAACAAGACCTCATGCATTAATTAACTTTTGTGACACAGCTATTTAGTGTTCAACTTCATTTATTCATCCCTCTTAAAGGTTCCCTCCCCCCAGAAATTAGAAACTACTGATATTACAAAAAAGTCTTTCTATTCATTAAAAATACATTCAATTTTTCATCTTTTTTGCTTTGATTTTTTTAAAAAGAGGCTTCCACAATGGAGAGCAATGTATCTGTTATATTCTCTCCCACGATCTCATCATGGTGTCAGTCCTCCCAAAAAAGTTTCTTGTGCTCTATAGAGATCTGGGTGAGGAAATGAGCAAATGTGCAATGTCTTTTGGGGTGTGCTTTAGGCACCATTTCCCCAGTTTCTGCTAGCTGCTATATTTTCAAATGCTTGCCTTCAGCAGAGAAAGCAGGAGAGCAGCAACCCACAGAACTAAATGATACTGTTTGTCAGCCTTCTGCGTGCTCTAAATCATCATTCTTCCCTCAGAAACTGTAAACACCACACGTGATGCTGCTTTGAAGTCAGTGGAGGCTACATCTTTTTGCATAGGATACTGTAGACATGCAGCTGATCCTGTTTCTATGGTTTTCTGAAGTTCACAGTATTTGCATAAAATGTGCTATTTTTGGTATCTTGAAACAATTTAAAATAACTGATTTCTTTAGCAGCACTTACATATGCTAAAGAAATGGTAATATTCCTGAAAATTCACAGTATCTTTTATAACATGACTTCTTATATAAAAGTTGTGTACATTCATCAAAAATGAAATGTATCAAAATGTTAGAGAGATATTGGAAGTGAGACACCATACATACCTGCACTTATTGGCTTATCAGCAAACAAATTATGCTAGTTTTGCAACATTTGTAAGTGAGTCATAGTTTAATAGCATATTTATAGAAGCAAAAGAACATAATGATGATACTACTCCTAAATTCTCCAATACTAAGAAAATATTTCATTAACAAAATCCACTCTTCCTTTAACTGTATAATTAGGGGATACTGTTGGACAGAAGTTACTGTAGTGAGTTTTATATTGTGCTTTTTTTTCTGTTCAGGTCATTAAAAATTTCTTGTAAATTTTAAATACAGTACCTGTGATAAACTTTGTGCTTCAATATGTGAATTAACTAGTTTAAAAACAGTGGCTATTAACATCTATGTGATTGGTGGTTTAGGTATGCAGTCTTACATTAGCAAAACAATTTTGTTTTGTAAACTTGTGCAAATAGCAGTTCTGTGATAAATATGTTCTTGATGAATATTTATAGTGCTTACAAACTGCTGTCTAAAATGTACTTAATATGCAGCACTTCAACACTTATGGGATTAAGGAGTATGGCAAAATACTGCACAAAAGATGCTAAAAGATATAGTAAAAATAGCTAACCACTGTATGATATATTACTGGAAATAATTACTAGCAGTACTAAAATACTGAGAATTAAAAATGCTTAAACATATTTTCATGACTTGTGTTCCCTGTAGTAAATTGCTGTCAATGTTTAACAATTTGATTGCTTGTGGCACACAATATTTGACTGTATATTTTACAAAACTGCAGTATTAAAAGTTGGTGGCATACAACATTCCGTACTTATCCCGTGAAATGCAGTGATGTATTATTTCTCTCTTTAAGCAGTTTATCTTTATTCTTTCTTATTTTAGATGCTCACTTGTCCCTATTATCATGGTATAGGTCTTCTGATCTATAATGCTTTTATTCTCACAATTCTACCCTTGTGAAGTAGGAAGATACTTTTATCTTCATTTCACAATTGGAGAACAGCGGCTCAGAGTAAATTATTCTACCACGATGTCACAAAGTCTGAGGCAAAGCAAAGTTGGCTCTCAGGCCAGGTCTACACTACAGACTTATATTGGTGTAACAATATTGCCCAGGGGTATGATAAACTACCCCAATGAGAGAAGCCCTCCCATTGGCGTAGTAGTATCTTCACTAAAGCACTATAATGGTGTAGCTATCCTGGGCTAGCGCTGTACGTGAAGACAGGCTTCCAGTCTCCACAGTCCCAAGCTAGCACCATAACCACAAGACTTTCCTGAATTAAATGGTATTTATTGCTACCATGGTCGATATTCTGGGGTTTGATTTAATGGGTCTAGTATAGGCAAGCTAGACTGAACTCAAAGGGCATCCCTGTCAGCAATGGTACTCCTGCTCCTTACAGAGTAATGAAAGCCAACGGGAGTGTTTGCTCCCATCAGCCTCCCACTGTGTGGAAGGCACGGAACCGCAATGTAATATGTGTATCTTACTTCAACCTTCTGTGTAGTGTAGAGAAAGCCACAGCAATCCCTCCTGCTGCTGCTGCTTTTTAACCTGAGCCAGAAGATAGGCAGCTTCCATTGCTGCTGTTACTTCTACTTTTCAATCAGGAGGAATCAGCCACTGTCCTCACTAAATGACTCCTTTACCATTAAATCATTCTTACATTTCCCATTCAAATTGAATTGGTAACCCTAAAATCTACTTTTCTGAATAGTGATGTCCTTTTAAAACTTGTAGCTTTTGCAGAATCTTAATCACATTTTTTACATTTAGATAATTGTCACGGTACATGGTGAATTGCTTTTTACTGAATATAACAGAGAGGTGGAAGTATAATGTAAGTGCCCAATTTGCAATGATCTTCGATCAGACAGGCCCCCTCTCTCAGATTTAGTATATTATGTTAGAAGTGCAGCTATTTCATGTGGGCTACGTCTAGACTGGCATGATTTTCTGCAAATGCTTTTAACGGAAAAGTTTTCCGTTAAAAGCATTTGCGGAAAAAAGCATCTAGATTGGCACGGACGCTTTTCCGCAAAAGCACTTTTTGCAGAAAAGCGTCCGTGCCAATCTAGACGCACTTTGCGCAAAAAGCCCCGATCACCATTTTCGCGATCAGGGCTTTTTTGCACAAAACAAATCTAAGCTGTCTACACTGGCCCTTTTGCGCAAAAGCTTTTGCCCGAACGGGAGCAGCACACTATTTCTTACATGAGATCATCAGTGGTCTTGTGGAAATTCAAGCGGCCAGGGTAGACAGCTGGCAAGTTTTTCTGCAAAAGCAGCTGCTTTTGCGGAAAGACTTGCTAGTCTAGACACAGCCGTGGAGTGTGTTTTTTCTACAAAGTAGGTATTTTTCCCACCAAGATCCCCTATTCACAGTGAATGCACATTGATCCCTGCTATAGCCAGCCTGAGGTTTGCTGTTGTACACTAGTGATGGCTGCAGTTATCCAAAGTGATTGTGTTTTGGGCACTTTGAGATGTGCTATATTGTTAGGCCAGGGTTATATTCCTTTCTATGTACTGAGGCAACTTCTGACATCTGCCCAGCAGACACAGGGTAACACTCATAATACACATGTCTGGAAAAAGACAGCCCTGAACTTACCCTCCTGAATATTACCAATACCGTGCTGTCTGGGCTTCTTTCTGCCATTTTTTTAAAAAGCTGACATCTTTTATTTTTAAAAAATCAAAAAAAAAATGGTATCACAAGGTTTTATATTCACACTTGTTGCACTGTTGGCCTACTGCAGTAGTCAGTAGCCTACTGTCGCCAGAACTCTGGTATTTCTTCACCACAGTCATCGCATACTCCACAGAGAAGCAAAAATGTCAGTGGCTTGGTATACACCAGTCATTCCACTATTGGTAGTGCTGCTGTTAAAATAGTGGTGGCCACACTCCTGACAGTTCTCAGAATATGGTAGGTGCCGCAAAAGGCCCAGTCAACTCCATTGCTTCTCCAACCCTTGCTGTAGTCACATTTTGAACACCGTGTCCCTTTGCCCAGAGAAGCTATGGGTGCACAAAACGATGGTGGTGGTTCTATCCGCTCACAGCACTGCGGAGGCCTGTTTGGCTGTGCCAGTGCAGTATCGGCAACTTACAATGTCTTTTTTCCCTTGCCCTCTGATTTCTTTACTAGTTTTTCAAGCTGAGCTGCTTGTTCACCAAGGACCCAACTTTCCTGGGCCCTTTGGCTACACCCAGGCTCACACAAAACATGACACGTTCCCAAGAGCTGGTCCCGCAGCCAAGATGAACCGAGGAGGCTTTAACTTAGCCAGTGTCGGCTCTAGCCTGCGCTGCATGGGCCCCGCCCCGCGTGCCAAGCGCAAACACAGCAGAGCGGGAGGCATTTGCTGCGCGCGTCATGTATTTAGTCACGTGCTGCCCGCGCGCAGGCGCGGGGCGACCTGGGGCCATTCGCGGAGGCTCCCGGGATGTGGCCTGACGGGATCTAAGCACCGCCCCTCCCCCTTCGCGACGGTTTGTTTCCAGGGACGCGGCGGCGCGGGCGGGGGAGGGGGCTGCAGCCCGGCCTTTCGCGGGGGGCTCTGGGATCGGGCACCGGCCCAGGTAGTGCGCATGCTCAGTAAACCCTAAGGCTGCAATTCTGAGGGGCGGCTGCTTCTGACGCAACCGCCGGCTCGTGCTGCTGCGCA